GCAATTCTATATAAATGCATTTGTATTTATATACAGCAGCATATTTTGTTCATGGCAGCTATTGGTTATATCCCCATTCAAATCAACTGCCTATTCTAATCAATGGACTCATGCCAAGCCATTCCATTCATTTTCTTTGCAAACACCAAGAAAGGGTTCTCACCTAATATTGTCAAGTTAGGTACAATGGAGATAAACCCACTATGCTTTAAATTTGGTGCCATATGACGTCTTAAGATTTGAGATTTGAGTGAGTATGGTTTTACGCCACAATATTCCAGCAATATCACCAGAATGGGCTTCACACATTGTACCCATGTGGGGAATCGAACCTGGGTCTTCGGTGTGACAAGCCAATGCTTTAACCACAAGGCTATCCCACCGCCCCTGAGATTTGAGAGCACTAACTTGAATTTTGAACTGAACATGGAGTGTGATGTTTCAAATGTTAAATTTAGAGCAGCATGATTATTTTCTCCAAACTCGCTCAATCACTCACTAACTTATAATCACCTTAGAATACTAAACGAACAATACCAATTTTAGGAAACGAGTGAATAGTTCTGGTATCTGACGAGCGAAAGTGAGACAGATACCACAACTATTCACAAATTTCCTAAAATTGGTTTTACACAGGAGCGAGTTTAGTATTTTATTTATTACTTGCCATTTATAAGATTTTTAGAATTATACTGTTGAGTGTTGAGGCTGACACCTACACGATCCACGGCATAATCCAATTGAGTTTAACAAAATAATAATTCAAACTCGTCAAAAGTTGAAACGTATGGATTTAATACCATACAATGGTCCACCTTTAGAATTCAGGCATCCATTCCATAAAATTATTGTAGCGCTAAGGTTATTGCAACTCACATACTTTAACTTTAACTTATTGTGCTACAATAAGATCGCCTTGTAGAGCGGGGCCTTGCACCTCAAAGTTTACAATAAGGTCACAATACCCGATGACGTAATTTGTGTAATTGTGTTGCAAGATCCATCTGAGAAACAATGCCATATGACGTCAGCCTTGCAACAAGGTTGCTGGGGTCATCAAGTGTGCATAAGCTCCTCTCAGTGATCTTTCATCGCAATGTCTTTGAATAAGCCAAGGGATGTTGAGAGCTTTCAATATTTGTTCTACAAACATATTCCGAGAGTACATAAGCACCTGTTTTGGTATTACACAATGTGTAATACAGCTGTATGTTTATTAAACGGGTGATCTCTTCACGGGCAAGTAATAATATGATATATGTCATAAAACATGGTCAAAAAGTCTCTATTTATATAACATTCATACAGAGCTGTTTCCCCTGAAATAAAATTACAAATTAGCTGAAAACCAACTTTAGAGCTTAAATTAAAATGAAAAACTGTTGACAGCAACTGACAAAGACAGTTGGATTTGTGGTCTGAAATATTAAAAAAAGGTAAACGTCAAAATACAGAAAACAGAATTTTTGACAATTTTGTCAGCAACATATGCAGTCAAAGAAGAAAATATTTCTAAGTATGATTTTATCGTAATACTTCAAATTTCTTCTACTGTGTGTTGGGAAGTATACCATTTATTCCTTCACCATTGCCGCCACAATGGATGAATGTATACCTACAATGTTGAATATCATAATAGATATGGATTTATTCCAATCTGACAGCCAGAAACTATCAGGAATCGATAAGAGATGGATTCAATGTTGACTATATTAATAATTGATACCGAAAATGAATCTCTCTTGCCAGAATTCACAAGGTGCAGCAGAAATATGTGTTCATGCGTCAACATGATCAATCATGAACAGATTGACTTCTTTATTAATCCAGACAAATATTTCTTGTTTTACAAATGAGACTTACATTTTACACCAAAAACAACAACAATATGTTTGACTGAAATATCCTTCAAAGATTTTGTTTAAACTTTACTTTCAAGAGCGTGTCTTATTAAATCTAAACAGTTTCATTTCCAAAATAACATCATGAATTATTAGGTTGTTTTCATGATATTTACTGTCTTCCTGTTCATTAACCTCAGATCATCTCTTGCGACATTAAACTTTTAAAAATAGTTTGCCTCCTGTACACTATTGCATCAGAAATAAATAAAACAAGAAAACAAATTGGTCTGGATTTTTCTGTCTCTGGGGCCATCTTGGATTGTCAGCAATACTGAGGCCCAGGCCTCTTCAAATCACATTATAAGACCAGTATTGATATCAAAGATGTATTCCTTCTGAAACTTGGTTGATGTGAGAAGGAGTAGGCTGGTGTCTATATCATCATGGCTGTATTTGAGATTTTCCAAGTTGATGTCATGAAAATCAAGAGAATCAGTGCTCACTTTGGCATGTGGTATTACAGAATCTTTTCACTCTCAGTGAGTGGTTGTCTTCACTCTATTCTATTCTTATTCTATTCCAGTCATGTCTTTGGTCAACGTCACTTTTACACTACATTCATCTGTCTATATTACCGTATTCGACGTAATAAGCGCCCCGCTCTAATAAGCGCCCACGGCGTTATTTGCTAATATATTGGCAAGTGAACAATCCCAGTTAGCACCCCTTCCGATTGATCAATGAACACAAGACTTATTTATTCGTGTGTAATACGCACTTGTTTGTTATATGCACCCTTAATTATGGGCAATTAAATTCTCGAAAATATATCTATTTTGTGTAATACACACAGATTCTTCTTTTATATCATTTCAGTCTGACCACAAAATTTACAATCTTTCAACCTCGTTTTTAATCTCACCAAAATTATATTCTAATAAGAGCCCCCTATTTCTAATTTTGAGAGCGCCCTGTGCGCTTATTACGTCAAATACGGTACCGGTACCTTGCCCGTATTCACCTGCCTATTTCGTCCTGGCCATATTCTACTGGCTATATTATCCTGCATGTTTTATCCTGCTTATATTGCCCTGGTCATATCTCATGCATGCATTATCCTGCATGTATTGTCCTGGCCATAGTCACCTGGCTATATATTCTCATGCATATATTCCCCTGCCTATATTGACCTGGCCATATTTACCAGGTTATATTGACCTGCATGTATTGTCTTGGCCATTGTCACCTGCCTGTATTGCCCTGGCCACATTCACCTGACTATATTCTCATGCATCATAGTATTATCATGCCTATATTGACCTGGCCATATTGACCTGGCTATATTCTCTTGCATGCATTTCCCTGCCTATATTGCCCTGGCTATATTCTCATGCATGCATTCCCCTGCCTATATTGCCCTGGCCATATTCTCATGCATGCATTCCCCTGCCTATATTGCCCTGGCTATATTCTCTTGCATGCATTCCCCTGCCTATATTGCCCTGGGCATACTGACCTGGCTATATTCTCATGCATGCATTCCCCTGCCTATATTGCCCTGGGCATACTGACCTGGCTATATTCTCATGCATGCATTCCCCTGCCTATATTGACATGTCTATATTCTCATGCATGCATTATCCTGCCTATATTGACCTGGCTATATTCTCATGCATGCATTATCCTGCCTATATTGACATATATTGACATATATACAGTGAGTGATGCAGTCTGACCACTGTTACTGATCACTACTTAAACCAAATTCAAACATGTCGTCCACCTCACCAGTTCGGTAAGGTCTAGAATCACATATTAGAAGTAGACACAACTAGCTTCATAACTAGCTTCAAACACCACATGCATATATTCTTGCTCACTTGTAATGACAGCACCCCTGGGTATGCACCCTTGGATAAGAAAGTTGTTGTCATTACCCGAGAGGCATATTACAAGACTTCGTAGGGGAAGCTAGGGGAAGTAACTCTGCCTGGGGAATTGCGATGCTTTATGGTTGGTTTTGAGTACTAAATTACAGCAGTAGTTGTGCCAATAGCTTTACAATGAACCTGAACTGATGATTTATTATATACTTCAGTGTGTAAAACTGAGTTTTCCAAACTTGAGAAATGTGATATTTTCATTGCAGTTAACTTAACACTTGAAATTACACTGCAGTGAACACTTGGACGGAAATAATGTTATACAAGAGTTACCTCCCATCAAATTGTCGTAAATGTCTAGCATGGGCTACACCACTCGGGGAAAATATCTCCTTTCCTAGAATCACTTGATGATATTTCACATGAAACATGAAATAACCTCTATTTGTATACAATAATACTAATGTCACTAATACCCTACACCAAAGGCTTCTGTAATGTACAAATCGTTTCGCCAACGGTTTGAATTTTCTAGACAACAGATGGTTTACAAACTGGTAATGGTGGCCATTCTGGCTTTGGCAGAAAATACATTATTCAGTATTTGATCACATAATGCCAGACAGGCACATTTGTATACATAATTGATCAATTTTCATTACATGGGTAATAAATATTGATATAGAGTATGTATAACTGCCAATATGATCGGGGTGAACATTACATTCTGCTCTGATACAAAATAGAATATGATTATACCCAGAAAGAGCATATTGCAATGCATATCGTACGTGACTTTGTATCATTTTAACCCTGGTCTAACTCGGTAGCATACAGAACCTTACAGCATCAAATAGGCATCTTTGGTTGCACACACCCGAGGGAGTTGAGGATGCAAATTGCATATCTACTTATCTGTCGACTGGGATAATCATGGGGAAATGGCCAAGGGTGTGTGGAATGAGGCTATTCAAACATACATATCATCATCATCATCATCATCATCATCATAATTTCAATGATCATTATTATTATTATTATTATTTTTATTATTCTTCCAAATACCTAAAATCGAAATTACAGGGTCATCCTCCTCCTCCTCATCATCATCATTATAACCATCATTATTTTTAGAAGTAGTAGTAGAAGTAGTAGTAGTAGTAGTAGTAGTAGTAGTAGTAGCAGTAGTATTGCAAATACCTAAAACCGAAATTACAGGGTAATCATCCTCATCATCATTAATATTATTCCAAATACCTAAAATTGAACTTACAGGGTCGTGGTTTGGATCCAAAGCGTCCACCATGGTTTTGACATGCCCATCTGTAACCAACTTGCTCTGCACATGTGACCCGTGGCACATGACCGTGAGAACACGTGCACTAAGAATCTGAAGACAGTGATGCGTACAGTGACGCCAGCGAACACTAGGTGTACACTTTTGCCGGTTACCTATGATCACTTTGTGCATGGATATACTATTCTGAAGCACAGTGAGCACCAGGCTGGGATCCAGACACATAAGTATTTCCAGAGGAGTTCGGTTTATGAACACAGCCGTGGGTCTGCTGTCCTCTTCGTCCGTATGTTTGTCAGCATGAGCTTCGTGAGGAACGCTGGCACGTCGTTTGTGTAGAGAGGAAATGCGGTGTAAGGCAGACGGCATCGTCGTCGTAGTAGTAGTTGTAGTTGTAGTCTCCTCAGTGGGAGGGGATGTAGAAGCACCATGGTCTTTGCGTTTGGGTGTCCCCTTTTGAAGAACTTCCAGAGGCGCTGCCACACATTCTATGCTCCTGCTCATAGACCCATACTCATAGTTTTTATGCACAATACACATGTCTATAATTCCATTGATGGCACTGAGGGAAGTGAAATGTAATGACTGGCGACCTTTCATAAGTTCTAGTGATGTGTTGAGGAGCTTGGAAAGTTCGAGGAAGATGGAATGTTTGTCTTCTTGGGTGTTGGCGTGTTGGAGCTGCTCGTAGCACGACTGAAACCACAAACACAGATGTCATCACATGATTTGCTAACATGTCCCCTTGTCACGTGTTTTGCAAAATCCCTCCCCTTGTCACGTGTTTTGCTAAATCCCGGCCTTGTCAAGTTTTGCTGACCCCACCCCAACCCCCCTTGCCACGTGTTTTGCCAACCCCACCCTCCCATTGTCACGTGTTTTGCTAAACCCCACCCTCTCATTGGTCTGGTAACCTCCCAACCTTAACACGGGAAACGCCCTTCCGGTGCCATGCCGCGACTATTATTACCTTAAATTAACAATTTACAGCATCTCATGAGAAATGATAAAAATAATTAAATTATATACTGGTATTCTCTGATGCAAAATCATATTATTTGATTATGACCACTTTACATAAGAAAGCCCAAAGTTCAAGGTTCAAGGAATGTGTTTGTTTCTAACAAGTTCGTTGTGAGCACCTTCGTCAAAAGGGTCTCTGTAATGTGGGTCCTAATCTACGGACTTCCGTCCCCCTACCCGCATAAAGTGGCCTTTACCATCAATCCCTCCTTAGCCCTGTGACCGCCTCCGTGGTCTTGTGGTAGAGCGTCCGCCCGGAGAGCGGAAGGTCCAGGGTTCGATCCCGGGCCGCGTCATACAAAAAGACGTTAAAAGATTGTACTTGTTGTTACCCTGTCTGGCGCTCGGCATTAAGGGGCTAAAACAAGGACTGGTCGGCTCGGAGTCAGTATACTGTGTCTGAGTGGGGTATTCATGTTAAACTGCGGCATGGTATCTCAGTGAGCTAGCACTATAAATCGGCATCAGTCCGGACTAGTACACGCAGCCACACACACACATACACGTGCATGCACGTCGCTATATAAGTGCAATAATCTTGGACGCGACGTTAAACTCAATTTCACCTCACCTCACCTTAGCCCTGTGCTTGCACCAAAGTCTGGGTCATGTATTACTGGATGGCATAAGGCTCACATCAGTATGGACAACACACCAGTACCTACCAAAACACTCTAGAATGTACCAACACAGCGGTTCTGATAGGCTAACGAAGATGCCAACAGACTATTGACTTCTTATAATTAATCCCAGTATAGATATAACATGAATCTTAATGCATGAAACGCTGACCTAACTCAGATCTGCCAAGGTGCAGACCACTGGATTACCGTTTCCGTGTCTAAATACCATGTTATGTCGAACCTTTTATCACACAAATACCCCATAGAACCAAGACGGATACAGAATTGATCCGAGAAGCCTTACCCCTTGTGTTAGATGGGAGATTTTCTTTAACGCAATCGATGATGAACTTGTCCTGGGATTGAAGCTTACCACAAACGTTGGATGTGGAGATGTATTTTTCCCTATATACACTAATGGATTTTGAAACAAATATACCATTGATCATGTCAGAAATTGCTGTTGCAAATTAACAATGAATTATTATACGATCAATGTATTTTTTTAACAGTTGTCTTCTTGCATTTTGCTGACCAAAATATCAAATGGTCGGTCGCTAACACACAAAACACTGTTCAAGTAATGACAATAAGGCCAGAAGCGAACATGGTTCAGGGGAGTAAGGTGGGCGTGATGGCAGTGGCAACATTTCAAGAAAACTAGTTAGCTCAGTCAGAAATAAATTAAATTGAAGTGAGTGAGTGAGTATGGTTTTACGCCGCTTTTAGCAATATTCCAGCAATATCACGGCGGGGGACACCAGAAATGGGCTTCACACATTGTACCCATGTCGGGAATCGACCCGGGTCTTTGGCGTGACGAGCGAAGGCTTTAACCACTAGGCTACCCGACCGCCCAAATTAAATTGAAAGAAAACATTTCGCCGTAATGTACTATTTACTGAGCAGGGTATACGTGGGGTTTCTGGAATCCCTACAAAGAACAGCATTGGATACAGAAGCCCCTACTGCTTCGAGCCACGCACAGTTCAACAAATGAGTCAGATGAGCTTATAATTAATTCATGGTGGCCTTATTAAGTTTAATACAAAACCCCATAATATTCACAAGATTATTTCAAAGCTATGTTTGCGTGGCTCTTTCCGAGACTTTGCGATTCAAGTTTGAGTTATTGAATATTTTATATATGTTTGGTTGGTAGAAAATACGATCAGTCAGGTGATAAGAAAAAAATAAACAGGAAGTGTAGACTATAACAAATGAACAGTCAATAAATCAAATAAATGACACGGACGTCGTAAATGTCCATTACATTTACTGGACTGGATCGTTAAAACCAACGGACTGACTGAACACTGGCCCCATAACGACAATTGCTGACCTGCACGATCTGATTGAAGAGTTCGTTGATGACCTTCTCTACACCCGGACATTCTGCCTGATCGATGATGACAAGGATGTTGCGCATGTAGACTGCGAGCCCGTCCAGCATCGCCGGCACACACTCCCAGTTGCTGGCAAGCTTCACCAACGTGGTCAACGACCTCTCGGCATCCTCAACGCTTGTCTTCTCTGAAATTAAAACGCCCATTTTAGTCTGACCACTTCACACAGCAGCTGAGGAAAGGTACTTCTCTGAAGAGACGTATTGATTTCGGTGCAGACATATGTTCATATAACACCTGCTTTGACGACTGAACTGTGACACTGGCAACAGGTTTCTATCTAGACTTACACATATTGTGCAGTCAGATCATAAACAGTAATTGTTCTTCGACCTCGCCCCTATTGTACTCTTGTATGTGGTATAGTGAAATTAGGTTCAAATGGTCAAGCTTCAACTCTACCTCCTATCAATTAAAAGCGTCCTTTCTTTCAAGTGGCACAATCAATCATATGAATGTAACGAATTGGCGCAATTTAGTTCTATGGTTCTATGTTTATGAACTTATTGTCAATAAAACAAAATTACTGCATGCATTTATTAAAATAAGATAAATGAATAATGTTCTACGCCGACGTCAGCAATATCTGGGTTGCCTGGACCTATTGCCAGACAAACAATCAGAAGGTTGCACAATGTAACAACCCTATCCTTAATCAGCCCTTGCGACAATAATGTGCTACTAGAGACCTATTCGGTCCTAGAATCCCCACATGGAGACACGTGTGGGGTACTAGAGACCTATTCGGCCCTAGAATCCCCACATGGAGACACGTGTGGGGTACTGGAGACCTATTCGGCCCTAGTATCCCCACATGAAGACACGTGTGTGGTACTGGAGACCTATTCGGCCCTAGAATTCCCACATGGAGATACGTTTGGGGTACTGGAGACCTATTCGGCCCTAGAATCCCCACATGGAGAAACGTTTGGAGTACTGGAGACCTATTCGGATCATGAATACCCACATGGAGAAACGTTTGGAGTACTAAAGCCCTATTCGGACCCAGAATACCCACATGGAGACACGGGTGGGGTACTAGAGACCTATTCGGAACATGAATACCCACATGGAGACACGTGTGGGGTACTGTAGACCTATTCGGACCCAGAATACCTTCATGAATCCAGAATCCAGAATCCCCATGTAATTTGACAAATCTGATGAGCATATATTTAATTCGTGGTGGCCTTATGATGTTTTTTTCCCTCTGTCACTGATATGCAAATACATACAGATGGAGTTGCACACGTGATCTATACCTGCGTACACACTAGGTGCAGCAGGTGAGAGCTGATGCACTCAACAGGGACATAACGTACTACTTCTGAAGTCCATTTCTAGTGTCCATCGAGATGTTGTTGGACTATTTCTAAAATGGGTAAGTTAAGGTGAAATTGGGGTTAAAGTCGCGTTTAGGGTTATTGCAAATATGAAGCGACGTGCACGAGCGGTCCGTGTTATGAAAACTGAGAAGACAAGCATAGGTTTATGCAGTTTCAAGCAATATTCCAGCAATATTACTGCAAGGGACTTTATACATTGTACCCATGTTGAATCGGACCGAACACTAGGCTCCCCAAACATAGTATCGATTCTATAGCAACGCTGGAGTACACGCACCATCAAAGTGGGAATCGAATTCATGCCATGGCATCACAAGCGAGCGAACTAACAACTGGGCTATCGCAACAATATTCATGACTTGTATATACGACCTCGTGAATAATTACGACTTCAAAAACAAAAACTAATATATATTGGTAGTCTGGTTGATTGCAACAAATAACAGACTAATTGCTTGGAATAGAACTCATGCCATGGCATTACAAGCGAGCGCACTAACAACTGGGCTATCGCAACAATATTTATGACTTGTATATACGACCTCGTGAATAAATACGACTTCAAAAACAAAAACTAATATATATTGGTAGTCTGGTTGATTGCAACAAATAACAGACTAATTGCTTGGAATAGAACTCATGCCATGGCATTACAAGCAAGCGCACTAACAACTGGGCTATCGCAACAATATTTATGACTTGTATATACGACCTCGTGAATAAATACGACTTCAAAAACAAAAACTAATATATATTGGTAGTCTGGTTGATTGCAACAAATAACAGACTAATTGCTGCAAATGGTCTTTTCAATTGCAGTCTGGACGCTTACTTCTGCTCATTATTCAGATACCTCAGTTACGAGGGTGTACCACGTTTGCCGCGTCGTCGGTGCTGTTTCATTACAGTGTCTACCTACATGAGAAGAAACATTTCTCTGGTTGCTTTAGACTGTATCATCGAGACAAATTACAAGTGGAGTGGAAATGTCACTCTGATTAGGCTGCGTACATGCAGCCTACCACGAGCGTTCTGTGTAATTCCGGAGGGACCTTCACTGGAGATATCGCTGCTTGTTTGGACTTCTGTATCACCTCCCGAATCACTAATGGTGGGAGTCGACCTGCTTGTAACCCGCGCACACATCTACACTGCCTGTTAAACTCCTTGTTTTGATGCGTCCGAACTTGAGACTATTCTGAGTGCAGTAGAGATCAGTGGAAAGGAATTCACATAACACACGCTGTTGTTTTACGTAGCGATGAACATACAGCTTCCCTCCCAGAGATGAAAATATAGCTCACCTCGATCCAGACTACAATATATCCGTACATTTACGTAGCGATGTACATACAGCTTCCCTCCTAGAGATGAAAATATAGCTCACCTCGATCCAGGCTACAATATATCCGTACATTAACGTAGCGATGTACATACAGCTTCCCTCCCAGAGATGAAAACATAGCTCACCTCGATCCAGGCTACAATATATCCGTACATTAACGTAGCGATGTACATACAGCTTCCCTCCCAGAGATGAAAACATAGCTCACCTCGATCCAGGCTACAATATATCCGAACATTAACGTAGCGATGTACATACAAATTCCCTCCCAGAGATGAAAACATAGCTCACCTCGATCCAGGCTACAATATATCCGATCAAATTGTTAGTTTCCGACATATCCGCTCATTCAGTCAGATTCTGGAATATCCACTCGTGCAGTCAGATTCCGACATATCCGCTCATTCAGTCAGATTCCGACATATCCGCTCGTGCAGTCAGATTCCGACATATCCGCTCATTCAGTCAGATTCTGGAATATCCGCTCGTGCAGTCAGATTCCGACATATCCGCTCATTCAGTCAGATTCCGACATATCCGCTCGTGCAGTCAAATTCCGACATATCCGCTCATTCAGTCAGATTCTGGAATATCCACTCGTGCAGTCAGATTCCGACATATCCGCTCATTCAGTCAGATTCTGGAATATCCGCTCGTGCAGTCAGATTCCGACATATCCGCTCATTCGGTCAGATTCCGACATATCCGCTCGTGCAGTCAGATTCCGACATAGCCGCTCATTCAGTCAGATTCTGGAATATCCGCTCGTGCAGACAGATTCCGACATATCCGCTCATTCAGTCAGATTCTGGAATATACGTTCGTGCAGACAGATTCCGACATATCCGCTCATTCAGTCAGATTCTGGAATATACGCTCGTGCAGACAGATTCCGACATATCCGCTCATTCAGTCAGATTCTGGAATATACGCTCGTGCAGACAGATTCCGACATATCCGCTCGTGTTGTCAGTGCCAACATATCTCCACATAGCAATAGGCCCTTATATCCGCTGATAGTATGTCATCTTGCCCTGATGACGTAAGCCATAGGGCTTCATTCATTCATTCGTTCGTTCATTCATTCATTCATCCATGAAATATAAAATGCAGCAAAGAGGGTTTGGGTGTTCCTGGCACAGTCAGGCTGGTTAAGCTCATCATCAGCTCAGGGTCCCACCCACCTCTACACGGAGACCAGACAGCAATGGGACTTCTCCCAGGAAGCGCTGCCTATAGCCAGTCAAACCCACCCAGAACTTTTCGAAGAATGTGAAGACGAACTGTCCCTATGTCAGTCAACAGATTGGGAGGTACCAAAGAGAACAGTGGGGAGTCGGACAACATTGTACTGGGATGCAAGCTTGACGTTTCGGAAGCGAGGTCTGCATATTTGCCGTGTTTTTCCTGAATCTTGTCAATCACATTAATGTCAAAAGGGACAGAAAATTCAATGATATTTTTTATATATTATTATTATTATTATTATCATTATTATTATTATTATCATTATTATTATTATTATTATTAAACATTGCAATATCACATGCTCCCTTCTCCCGATGTTATTCTCTGAGGGGTCACCGCTGAAGGAGAAGCCTTACATCCCCACTTTCATCCAGGCAGGAAATATATCCCCACAGCTTACCCCCATAATGGCGAGCGTGATGGCCCTTGGACAGAGGGTTGTAACGTGTCTAGCCAGAGCGCCTTGAACTCTACAAGAAGAATCCGGAATTGGCCAGCGTCTACCGCCATATGTGTCGATACCGTTATAGGACCCGACGGGGTCGACAATGAATTGTTGCCCTTACACTGAGATGCGCGATATTAAACTTGCAGTCGTAATGTCACATTGAACCTGTGTCAGGCTAACAGACGAAGGTCATCTTCGGGCCTAATCACGGAAACACGAACTGAGTGAGTGAGCGGGTTAGCTTTAACGGCGTTTTGTAGGGACTACTACAGGGGGCATTGCCGCGTTGTCGCCTTTCCAAAACCAAGCAAAAAGTGTCGACAATGCGACAATGTCCCTTGTAGTATTCCATACAAAACGCCGTTAAAGCTAACCCGCTCACTCACTCAGTTCGTGTTTCCGTGATTAGCCCCGAAGATGACCTTCGTCTGTTAGCCTGACACATTAATTGATAATGATTGTATACCACGGATTATCAACCCGAAGTGATGCAATGGCGTCTACCAATTGGTTAAAAACCAACGGACACAGGTATGGTGCTGACAAATCAAAATTTTCATCATCGGGACGAATATCGGAGTTGTACCCACGATCCTAGGATTCTGGCACGCCTAAGGGACATAACTCCATAGAGTACATGGCGGCGCCATAAACAACTGCGACACTCGTTCCCTATTTAGTGGTCAAATGTGTATTTAAGCACCATCTAAGTAACAGCCTAAATTACTCGCCTAATACAG